AAAAAAAAAAAAAACATTTATGGTGTTTGGCTTGGTGGCATAAATAATCAGCTTTAACATCTCAATTATCGGGTTAATTCAATTTTTAGTCTATTAACTATCACCTTGATTTCATTTTAGTCTAGAAACTATGTTTTATTTCTAAGTGGTCTATTAACTTTCGGATTTATTTCAATTTCGTCTACCTGGTTATCTTTGACGGAAAACTCACTATTATGTTAGAGAACAGTTAGTCCTCTAACTATATTTATTTTGATCTTTTAGTCCTCAAATTTATATTTACTGTAAAAACAGCTTTTATACTTAAAATTATTATTTTTAGGCTCTGATATCAAATTTTTATTCGAGTTTTTAAAACTTAATTCAGACTACTATTAACTGATGAATAACTAATAATATTTTAAAAATAGAAACAATTAATGAAAATACCCTAAGAAGAATTAAAAATTCGATATTAAAGCCTAGAAATAATAATTTTAAGTATATAAAAGTTGTTTTTATAGTAAATATAAATTTAAGGACTAAAAGATCAAAATAAATATAGTTAGAGGACTAACTGTTCTCAAGTTTTCCGTCAAAGATAACCAAGGTAGATGAAATTGAAATGAATCTGAAAATTAATAGACCACTTAGAAATAAAACATAGTTTCTAAACTAAAATGAAATCAATGTGATAGTTAATAGACTAAAAATTGAATTAAGCCCTCAATTATCGGTTATAATCAAATCAACAATGATTATCTATTTCAAGTTTAATAATGACTATACTTAGTCAAAATTTAAAATTTTTAAGGGATAAAAATATAAGAAAATGCAAAAAAGTGGACAAATGAGAATAAACTATGAATTTTAAATTTTACTTTTTTTACTTTTAGATATATTTTTAATTAAAATATTGAATTATAACAAAATTTATAACGTAAAACTTGACAATAAAAATGAATAAAATGATTTTTATATTTATTTATAATATTTAAATAACTATTATTTATTTATTAATATAAAATTTTATTTTTTTGTTATATATTTAATTTTATTTAGTTACAATATTCAAATAACATTTAAAATTGGACCAGTTCTTTCCAAAGTTAAATAATTAAGAATAATAATAAAAGAGATGAATTTTATAAAATTAAAATTTAAAACCAATGATTAGGTATGAGCAACATCACTTAAAATATTAGCTTCATTCTTTATGAGGTCTGACATGTCTCAATTTTGAATTAATCAGGATTTAATATGACTTTTCAATATTAAGAGGTTAGTTAAAAAAAAATCACTTAAAATATCCAAAAGTGGGTTCTATATTATTCAATAATTGAATTTTTTTTTTACTTTATTAAAATTCTTAATATTATATGTATCATCTCATATTTAATGACTTGATTTATATTACGTGGTTGGTACCAAATTTTGTTCTCTGTATCACTACTAAATTAAGAATAAATATAAAATTTTATTAATAAGTTCATATACCCTTATTTTATTGGACAGAATTTCTGAAGTTAAACGGAGAGATTTATGAAAGACAAAATTGATCACACTTTAAAATTGGACCAGTTCTTTTGATAGTTAATTGAAACGTGGACAAGCGTTATCTGAAATTTAGACAAAATCTGATTTAATTTGA